CGCCCCTTCAGAAAAAAACAAAACAGGACATGGATAGATCTGTTTATCTGGAGGGGCAAAGAAAACAAACAAACAAACCAAGAAGCCCCGAATCCAATAGCAAGTTATACTTAATAATGTATAATTAGCAGTGGACTGAGTTTTCGAACTGAGCATGCAGAGGCAAAGTTAGGCGTGGTCAACTAAAAACATCACTCAGTCCAAGGGCAGATAGGCTGTGTTAACCCAGCATTGGACTCTCCGAGCAGTGCACTGGAGAATAAATAATTATTAACATAAGGAAGTAAATGAAAAGTTATGTAAGATTTCTTGAAGCAAACTAGCATCACAATAACCTATGCCAGGGTTTATGTTAGAGAAGAGTATTTGACAGAGGTGGACAGCTACAGAAATGAATGATTGGATGAATGAATGAATTTAATCAAGTCAATCATACAAAGAGAAAACAGCTCTTGTGATCCTATAGCACTTGCAATTCCAATCTAAGTAAATTTAGATTCCTTTCATTAGCAGAGTTTAGACAGGAAAGAAAATAAATTAAAAAGTAATAACTTGGCTTTAAGGGAGCAAATTAGTGATCACACAGATGGAGAATAAAATTTGGATTTAAGTAAACATTGTTAAACTTCCAACTCTTTCAAGTAAACATATGATTAAATTCTATCTTGTAGCATGATTATTTGAATATATCTCACCTTTCTGTATGAACTGAGAGTTTAAAGCTTATAGAAGCCTTATAGACAAAGTCAGCATTTAGTAGGCAATGTGAAAACATTTGAGTCAGCAATTTTAGCAGAAAAAAGCACATAATCTGGAAAGTGCAATACGATGATTTCTGGACCAATCTCCTAAGTGAAGTGAAATTTGATTAAGATGGAGAAGTCCTAAAGATACCTTTGTTTTTGATGCCAGGGCAAAAGCATCAGAAAAAAGGGAAAGCAGACATCCTCTGCTAAAACAATTAGATTACTATTTTACCACTATTTTTAAAGCATTGTTTTACCTGGAATGTTCCAGAAGCTATAATATAGGCTTTGTCCACCATCAACCTTCACAGTTTCTCCAGTTATAAAAGAAGCACCTGGAGAAAGCAGAAAAGACACCAAAGCTGATACCTAAAAAAGAAAACAGAATTATTCAATATTACATTAGTTGCCTCTGGACAAGATAAGAGACAGACAGACATTAACCAAAGAGTCAATAAACAAATAAACAAACAAATAACTATATAACTATAGCACAGGCAGGGCCACCAAGAGGATTATTAAGTGCTAGAACAAGACTAGTATGGCCCCCCCTCACCTACATATGGACACATAAATCAATAATGTCTTGCGTGATTGCGCATGGGTGAGAAAGATGGCTGCCGGGTTTGCCGCTCGGCTTCTGTACTGAAACAAAATCTTGTAGAGAGGAGGAATTTGGCATTTTGGAGCTGGCCCAATCGAGGTGAGGCTGTCTGAATGCCTTGCGGTCCTGGAGCTGGCAGCGGATCGGAAAATTCGACCTCTCCGGGCTACCAGCCTGGAAAGACACTGAGCCCCGAAAAAAAACGCCGAGAGACGTCATTATTACTAGCCGCCGACATTGCTGGCCGCGGACGCCGCCTAACGCCGCCTAACATTGCGGCTTGAACGGAAAAAAAACCTGCGGAGACGGCGGAGACTGAACAACCAAAAGAAAAGCTGGTGAGAGGGGAAATTGGCCCCTAGGACCGAGTCGAGAGAGTTGGGAAGCGACGCGGACGCCGAGAGACATTGTTTATTGCTGGCCGCCGACATTGCTGGCCGCGGATGCCGCCTAACGCCGCCTAACATCGCGGCTTGAACGGAAAAAAAAAACCTGCGGAGACTGCGGAGACTGAAAAAACAAAAGGAGAGCTGGTGAGAGGGGAAATTGGCCCCTGGGACCGAGTTGAGGGAGTGGGGAAGCGATACGGACGTCCTGTGACTTAGAGCTGGCAGCGGATCAGTAAAACTTCAATTCTCCGAGCTGCCAGCCCCGAAGGACACCGACATTGCTGGCTATTAACATCACTAATATTATTGGTTATAGACATTGCCCACCTCTGGATTTGACTTTCTGACGCGTTGGGGCCCTTAAGAACGCTGGGCTCGACCGTTGAATGGAACGCCCCCCCCTCCTCTTCCATCGGAGATAAGTTTTCTTTCCTCCCTCTTTCGATTCTTGGAAATGACACTAAGAGAGGTTATTGGAATGAACCCATCCATCAGGCTTTTTCCATCATGGTTAACTTCCCGGCTCTCACTGCTGCAGTTGACATTCGAACTCACTCTATCTCCCAGCCCCTCCCCTCCTTGGACTATATTGAACTCTTCAGAAGAGCCCCCCTCAAGGTGTGGCCCTCCCCTAGGAGAGGGCGGAAGACACCTTTGGACTTATAT